CTCTGAAAGATTTATGAACATTTCCTTTATGTTACATATAAATACACAAGCACAGTCAATAACCCAGCGTCGTATATTGCAATTGTTCTTAATCGGTCCAAAATTGATGAAACAGTGCCCACAGAAGATTTGCTTGAAAAGATTTAAATAGAATACATCCATGATTGCAAAGAGGAGACTCAAAAGAACAGTTATCTCATAATCTCTCAAACAAACAAGCAAAATACATGATTAATGGCTTCGACGAAGGACACAACAACTATACCATTCACTGTCTTCATTTCTTCCGGTTCTTACTTCTACTAGCTTTCACATATTTTCGACCTGACTTGTCACCACCACTGCCCAACGAGAAGCTCCCGCCCGCATTGAATTCTAGACTGGCTAATGCTTGAAATGAAGAAGGGTTCTGTGAAGCAACTTGATTTTGCTGGCCAGCAAACTGGAAGGGACTAGGTTGTGATTGTACTGTTGACCCTAACATGAAGCCATGGGGAGAAGGTGAGATGGTTGACCAAATGAAGGAACAGAAGGTGCAGACGGCTGCATGGTATCCTCGGCCATACTGTCATCTGCATTCATCTGATCATTACCAGTCGAGGCAGCAAAAGTAGGAGGATTACCAAATACTGGCTGCATATGAGAAAGAGATGGTGAAGATAAGGCTGCAGCATAGGTAGTAGTAAACGAGAAAATGGGGATTGATGAGGCCCCAATCAACGAATTAAATACCATTAGTGCAGTGCTTGTAGCTGCAAAGGAAGATGATGTTGCACCAAAGGCAAATCTAGTAGATGGGGACGGAGAAGTAAAAGTAGAACCAAGATTAGAAGACTTGGGACTTTGCCAACTCGAACCAAATAAGCTAGTAGCTGTAGCTGCAAAGGAAGATGATAATGCACCACTAGCTGTTGGCCCATTGCCAGGGCCAACTGCATTGCTTTCAGACGAGGAACCTATAGAACTGAAACCAAAATTAATGTTTGTACTGGGAACTTCAGAATTGGCCGAGGAAGATGCAAATGATGTATTGTTAGCGATACTGCAGTCTGCAAGATGGTAAACACAATGCAATGGAACCTGAATTTTAATTTTTAACCAAGTAATTACAATACAAAATCATCAAGTATATTAGTTTCAAGCACAAAACAACAGACATGGAATGAACAACACACAAACCATGAGTAGAACTCCTAAAGTAGAAATCTTGGAGTACTTTGGTTCAGATAGAAGGGAGAAAAAGAACACATATTATGGAGGAAGAAATCTTGGAGTACTCTGGTTCAGTAGAAATCTTGGTGTCTAACAGGTGTTCTAGCCACTAAATGTAATAATTGTGGCTTGATGAGATTCATAAGGAGAGAAGTTCGATTATGGTTGGATGAGAAAAATACTTGGTGAGTAGCCATAGCAGCTCCCAACATCCTCATCAACTGGTTACTGCTAACTGTCCTATCTGTATTCACCGGCTGTTCAAATATCTAGCAAAGGAAATCAAAAGATGAAATGGTCAATATTAATTTAAACAGTTCAATGCTTGACATTAATTTAAACAGTTCAATGGTCAATATTAATTCACTTGACATTCAATGCTGCATTGTACTACAAAATTGGACCTCAACGACAATTTTAACTTATTTTCAGCTTTCTTTGATCAAAAAATTGTTTATTTTAAAACAAACTTTAATTATGACCAAACTTTTTTCGCTTAGCCAACCATGGTAAACACACCCACAGTATAAATTTCAATCTATTGTAAAATTGAAAATTGTTGACACTTAAAGAGTGGTATACTCCATCTAGACATGGTGGCCTCAATGTAATTAACACTTTATATGAAGTGCAAGAACACTCAAATATAATACACGCTTGTCCAGATAGAAGGTTCATTAACAACACTGACAAGAGTAGCCATCAATTGATTGGAGGACATGAGTACCACAAACAGTTTTAGTTTGCATACAAGAAGCGTATTCCATAGATATAATATTGGCTACTAGCTTTACATTCCCTTCTATATTCCACAGATGGAGTTCTTGGTTCGACAAACTAACAAGTAAAAACTTGTTGTCTTTAGATAAATCAAATGAAATAATAGTATGATCCTCAATGAATTTCTCAAAAATTTCTTGAAAGACAATTGATCAAGTAGACCAAAAAATATGACCTCAAAACAGTAAATTATCTACAATGTTGTAAATATAACACTTGTACATAAAATTATTACAACAAGTCATCCAGTGGCACTATCAAAACATTCAACGAAAAAGGAACAGACATTAAATAAAACTAACCATAAGATCAGTCAAGAAATTCAAACTCGTCATCCCTCAGGTGTGCCAAAAATTTTAGTGTCTTCCCATCGCGTCCCAGAACCTCATCCACCACGAGCTTCACTTTATAAGGCAAATTAGCTGAAATCTTTTTCCCCTTATGAACCCCAACATAGTACTTCACCACACCCATCTTTCCCCGTCAACTCGTATTCGGGCACCTTAGGCACATGGTAAACCTTCAATGGCACCATAATCCTGACCTTAGCCCCAACTATCGACTCAGCTTTTTTCAACTCATCATCATTAACACTATCATCGTCAAGACTTACAGAGTTCGTAGTTGTAGCCAAACTGCTAGGGGCCGATGACGAGGCAGCAGCCAGTTGATTATCTACAGTGGAAATTGAATCTGCGACAGATCTTATGGGGTGGAAATGGATTGAATGTGTCCTTCTTCTTGAAGCGTATTTGATTTTGGTAAAAGGGGTATCTGAGTTTGGGATTTTGGAGGTGGATACGTTGAGGAGCGAAGAAAAGAAGGCTGGAGAGATGGTCATGGAGATTGATAGTGGTGATTTTTTTAATGGAAAATTGTGGGTTTGTGGATGTGGTTGAGATATTTTAGTGCTAACCAAACGGCTGCTAGGCGTTGGGAAATCGGAGGCGGACCGGCGTCGGAAAGCTTCTAACGGAGACCGTGGGAGATGTGGGGTAGAAGAAAATGGAAACAGAGGAA